AAAAATGGCTGCCAGGGGAGGTGGGGCCAGCCACAAAATGGCTGCCATGGGAGGTGGGGCCAGCCACAAAATGGCTGCTGCAGCCCACCTGCAGTCGGACAGGGAAACAACATTTTAAAAAATCCTCACGGCCATTCAAAATCCCAATGGCCAAACAGAAGCCTTGCTGGGCAAAAGCCCCACCCAGCCTCACCCATTTCCTAAAAACACTTGGTTAGGTATCAGGAAAGGGGTCAGCAGGCACCACAGAGAGCCAGTTTGGTGTAGTGGTGAAGAGCACAGACTCCAATCTGGGAGAACCGGGTTTGATTCCCCACTCCTCCACTCGCACCTGGCTGGATGACCTTGGGCAAGCCATAGTTTCTGGCAAAGCTGTTCTCTCAAGAGCAGTTCTCTCAGAGCTCTCTCAGCACCACCAACCTAACAGGGAGTCTGTTGTGGGGAGGGGAAGGGAAAAGAGATTGTAAGCTACTCTGAGATCCTGAGTGAAGGGTAGGGTATAAATCCAATCTCTCCTCCTCCTCCTTATTTTCTTCTTCTTTTCTTCTCCTCCTTTTCTTCTTCTTCCCCTTCTTCTTCTTCTTCTCCTCCTCCTCCTCCTCCTCCTTCTTTACCTCTTCCTCCTCCTCCTCCTCCTTCTCCTCCTTCTTCTCTTCCTTTTCCTCCTCCTCCTTCTTCTCCTTCTTCATAGTGCTCATGGGCACCATGTTGGCGACCCCTGGCATAACTGGATGAAGCCAATTGAGGAGGGAGGTAGAAATTTCATATTTCTAGTGGTTTTTATTCATCACTTAGGGTCCTACCCCTTCATCTCTAATCTTTCAGGAAAAGGACCAACCATACTTTCCAAATTCTATACAAATTCCTGAGCTGGGGCAGGGGGAATACCCCCCTACGGTTATGCAAATTGCAGGGAGCCCATTTGTCCTCCCGTTATCAGAGATGGGTGTCACTTTGTTTCTGCACCCTTCTCTGCCCTTGCGCAATCCGAATTGCTGAAAGTCTTCTCAATAGTTTGCAAATATTCCAAGTAAATATTCCACCAACTGTGGTTTCCTCTTATGCATTGGGACTGAATCATTCCAGGTCCGTCACCGCAGAGACTGGCTGAGCTTGGAGCACAAGAGCAATAGCCTACCAGGACTCTGAAAGTAACGAATCAAGTAGTCATGATATGTAAAGAGCCTATCATTGGGAGTGGGGTGTGTTTGGGTGTGGCAATTGCATGCTATTTAACAGAGCTGAGGCTCTGGAGTCTGGTCTTGCTCTGGCTGAAATCACAAATGAATTTGAGTTGATCATTAGACTTAGGGTTGCCAAGTCTGGCAAACTCAGTGGCGGGGGAGGCTTCTCCAGCTCCGGATGCGCGCGCAAAGCGCGCACGTGCCACCAGCATTTCGATGGAAGTGACATGTGATGTCACTCACGTTGGGGGCGTGGCCCAGATCGTGGGGGGGGAAACCATATGGTTTCCCCCCCCCGACGATCTGGGCCATGCCCCCAACATGAGCAACGTGGCTGCGTCACCTCCGGTGATGCAGCCTTGGGGGGCGGCGTTCCCCCCGGGGCCCGATTCTGCCATGGCGGAAATTGGGCCTTCAAAGCGGAGGTTTCCCCGCCCACCGCCCACACTTGGCAGCCCTAATTAGACTCGAGCCTGCTCATCCATGGAAGCCACTATTTAACATTTCCCAAGCTAGCAGCTGAGGTCCAGCTCTAGTAGCGTCTGTTGAAGTAAGCCAAAACCCCACTAAAGCTCCCCAATGTCAGCTATGCTGCCATGGGGGTTGGGATGTTCTTTCAGTGTCTGCGTAAATTGCTTTCGCATTCCTCTCTCTCTGCTTTGCACTGAAATGCTTATCTCTAAAGAAGTACAGGTGGCGATGTGTGTTGTCTGCCATCCAGGCCAACCGTGGGAGCAGAACAATTCCCAGCTTCGCATAGTAACACTTGCCAGCTCTAGCCCGTGCGCGGGAGGGTGCCTAATTGGCCAGCGCAGTGGGGGGGGGGGTGCATACGAATGCCCTATATCTCATTAGGTTCAATAGGCAACGGCTATTCTTAACAGTGACTATGTTAATGCATCTATGGCTCTTCAATAAAACTATAACCTTTCTAAGAAGTGTGTACTCCATTGTTGGCTGTGAGTTCCGACACTCAAATATGAACTTAACCGTTAGAATCAAAAGGTGTGACTTTAAAAATAATAACAATAAAGCAAATAAAGTCACTTAGGACCAGTTAATTGTTATGATCCACACCGTTGCCAGGTTACGTCTTGGTGCCTGCCTGTTCATTCCCCTACTCTCTGCACCCAAAGCCTTCAGCCCCAAATTCTCGGCAAAAAGAACCGCACGCTATACAACTTCCTATTCTTTAAAAGCTGCCGCTGCAAACCCTGTATAATTATGCAGACGACAGGAAGCCTAATTTGTGTCATTTATTGTGGTTCGGGCGGGGTGGTGGTGAGGATTTTTAATGGACAATTTGAGGATATCTGCTCCAATTACTAGGCGGGAGGTCTACCTAGATGCCTAAATGCTCTGCTGGATCTCTGCCAGCGACTCTTAATATGAAACAGGAATTCTTATGCAAAAATGCGATGGCCCTTTTTTGGAGAGGAGTGAGCATGATGAGCGTGGTGATCTTTGCAGATCGACACTCGACGGGCCTGCTGTTTGAAAAAAAGCTTCCTCCTGATCGATATTTCAGCTTCTTCCAGGGTATATTAACTTCTGCCCACCATTCTGAACTGAAAGATGCGTTTTTGGATCTTGCATTGTCCATTCACAAAAAAAGGTGTTTTCACTAGGTTGCCGACAATCCCAGATCGGCAGGGGGGTGTGTGTCTATCAGAATTAGCATCGATCATGAACCAAGAGTAGTGAACAACTCGGGAGATTCTTCTGTACAAAATTGTGAGGATCCCTGCCAATACTGAAAGCCTTCTGAGAGTGGAAAAAGAAGGTGGTTTCTTCTTTGCAAGCTGGAAATGAACTCCCATGGACACATAACTTCCTAGAAAGCACAATTCCTATTGGCTAAGCCAGGGCACCAGGCCCATAGCTACAGTGGGGCTTTTGGGGGCTCTGCCTCTTTCTTAAAGGCACCGCCCCACAAGAATTTCCCGTGTAAATGCTTTTTTCCATCCTTTTAAAACATTGTCTTTAAAGGCATGCACTCCTTTAAGCAGAGTGGGGTGCTGTAGTTGACTAATCCCTGCACTGAGCAAGGGGGTTGGAGTAGGTGACCTCTAGGATCCCGTCTAACTCTGTGTCAAGAAATCGGTCTCCTTTAAGAGAGTTTTTCTGCCTAAGTGTTAGCTTTCTTGACTATAGAAGTCATCAGCCCTGCTTGCCGGCTTGTTGTCAGAATAGTTGCTTAGGCAGGCAGAAGCGATTACCTTGCAGCAGCCAAGAACTGTCATCTAAAGTGGCTGACAGCTTACAATTGAGAGATCTATCCTGGTAACAGCTTCCTTTTGCCTAAATGGCTTTTCTTTCTGCACTGAGAACTTCAGCCCCACCAGGGGAAAAAAATTGCCCCACAGGCCACAAAATCCTGTCTACGGGCTTGCAGGACACTCTCGCGTCGGGCTGTCTAAAGCCCACTGAGGGTGAAGAAATTCCCACCCCAGCCCTCCATTCCCCCCCTCACTCTGGTGAGGGGAGGTGGTAGAGGGGCCAGAATGGCAACTTGTAATCCTACAACTCATTTCCAGGTGTGGAACCAGAACTGACATCACCACACTGCAGCGTAAGTCACTTCGACACTAGGGGTGTGCAAAAAAAACAAACCACCTTCGGCCCATTCGGATTCGGCCGAATTGGGCAGAATCAATTTCAGCTGGCAGTAAGACTCCCGCATGTCCGTTTTGTCAGTACCAGCAGATTAGGGAGTCTTTCAGCCAGCCGAATGTCAATTTCAGCCCCATTATATCCTATGGGCCTGCCAACCTAGCAGTTCGAAAGCAAGAAATTGCAAGGAGATAAATAGGGACCACTTCGGTGGGAAGGTAACAGCGTTCCGTGCGCCTTGGTGTTTAGTCATGCTGGTCACATGACCACGGAAACGTCTGCGGACAGCGCTGGCTCTTCGGCTTTGAAACGGAGATGAGCACCGCAACCCTAGAGTCGGATTCGACTGGCTTTCGAGCAAGGGAACCTTTACCCTTTTAAATCCTATGGGCCATTGAAGTCAATGGTGAAAACATAGGGTATATTCAGGGGGCTGGAGGGGAGGGGGCTTGGGAGAGACGCCAAACTCGCAGGTTAGCTGTTGGAGCCTCTCCCCAAGATACCACCCAAGTTTGAAGAACATTGGACCAGGAGGTCCAATTCGACGGGCCCCCAAACAGGTTGCCCCATCCCCTTCATTGTTTTCTATGGTGGGGAGAAAAGGGGCAACCTGTTTGGGGGCCCGTCGAATTGGACCTCCTGGTCCAATGTTCTTCAAACTTGGGTGGTATCTTGGGGAGAGGCTCCAACAGCTACCCTGTGAGTTTGGAGCCTCTTCATCAAACCCTCTCCCCTCCGGCCTCCAGAATATACCCTATGTTTTTGCCATTGACTTCAATGGCCCATAGGATATAATGGGGCCGAATTGCCACCGAAATTCGGTGACAATTCGGGGGCAAGCCGATTCAGATCAGAGAATCTGAATCGGCCAGCAGCAGCCCGAAAGGAGTCCGAATGGGCCATTTTCGGGGGTGCATTTGGTTCGGACTAACCGAATGCACATCCCTACTCGAGACCCCATTGGGGAGAAAGGTGGGGTATCAAGGAATTAAGCGAGAACATAAAGTGAACCTAAATTCAGAGGTTTTCCCCCCCTTCTGTACAAAAATTTGTGCAAAAGTTTGCATAACTTGTTGCACAAGGAGAAGCCTAAAATCTTGAGTGTATGTTAAACTCAATGCAGTGGTCCTGCATTGCCTGCAGTTTTTAAGCATATCTCTTTAGAAATAAGTTTCATTGAAATTAATCTGTCTTTCTCCCAAGTAAATAGACTTCTGATTCAGCTCTAGAGAAATATTCTGGAAACTGCCAGCCCATCATTTTCTAGTTTTGTGATAACCTAAGCAGCAAAAAAAAAAGTGAAGTGTTTATTGTTGTGTATTAAAGGTTCTACATTACCCATCTTGAGAATCAGCTTTTGCCCTTTCGTTTCTCCTATGGAGTTGTTTTCGTAAAATTTCTGCTTCTTTTTTGAGTCTTCAAAGCTGACAAACTTCCGGGATCTGGTGTAAATCACGAGTTCTGACAGCAGCATCGCCACTTGAACATTTCGGTGCTGTGAACAAAGGACAGCAGCTGTAAGAGCCCTGAAAGATCACAGAGTCATAGAATCATAGAGTTGGAAGGGACCTCCAGGGCCATCTAGTCCAACCCCCTGCTCAGTGCAGGAAATTCACAAATTCCTCCCCCTCCATACCTGCAGTGACCGCTGTTCCACACCCAGAAGATGACAACAAACCACCAGGATTGCTTCCTGGCCCCAAAGTGGCAATTAGCATTTCCCTGGGCGTGTAAGAAAGGGCCACAAGAACTGAGCACCGAGGCAACCCTCCCTGCCCTCCCTCTCACGATCTGTCCAAGTTCACAGAATCAGCATTGCTGTCAGATGGCCATCTAGCCTCTGTTTGAAAACCCCCAAAGAAGGAGAGCCCACCACCTCCCGAGGAAGCCTGTGCCACTGAGGAACCGCGCTGTCAGGAAGTTCTTCCTAATGTTCAGCCAAAAACTCTTCTGATTTAATTTCAACCCGTTGGTTCTGGTCCAACCTTCTGGGGCAACAGAAAACAACTCCACACCAGCCTCTAGATGGCAGCCCTTCAAGTATTTGAAGATGGTTATCATCTTCAAGTACTTGAAGATGGAGGTGACCTCCCTCCCTGGACTCTGAGGTAAGTGATCATTTAAGGATGATACTTGGTCAAGGAACACTAGAAAAGATAAGATGTATCATACCTTCTGACCATGTGGGGGCCTGAAATGCTTAGCATGGGTGTAGGGTCCCTCCTGGCAGCTTGCATGGAGGACTTACCAGCAGCGTGGGAGACCTAGCCTGGCACCACAGTGATGTCATCGGTGACGTCACTTCTGGCACACACCGGAAGTGACCTCTTTGCATTGCTGGCAAAGCAGGACACTGGTATTTCATGCCCAAATTCCAGAGCACCCTGTGCCACATCGCTAGCGATGTCACTGCAACCTTGGCTTAGATATTCCCCCTGTGCTGGTAAGTCACCCAGCCAGCCCGCTGATTGGCGGTGGGGGGGCAGCAGCTGTGAGCGGGGGAATCTCCCATCTCCAACCGGGGCCTGGCCACCCTGTAGGGGAGGGGAGACCATAGAGAAAAGGGTTGCCAGCTCTGGATTGGGAAACAGCTGGAGATTTGGGAGTTGGAGACTGGGGAGGACAGGAGAGGGACCTTATTGGGGCAGAAAGGGACCTTATCAGGGTATAATGCCATAGAGTCCACCCTCCAAAGCAGCTATTTTCTCCAGATAAACTTATTTTGGTCGTCTGGAGACCAACTGTAAGAGCAGATCTCCAGGTGCTACCTAGAGGTTGGTAACCCTAGTAGAGAAACACACACAGACATACAGGCTCACTTCAGACATAACATGAAACCCTAGTTTACTTTATGTACCCTTAGTTTTTGGAATCAGGAATTCATAATCAGGGCTGCTGAGAACTTTGACATGAACAGGATCTAGGGTTCCCGTTCCCCAGTTTGGGGTGGAGGATCCCCTGCTTTTGTGGGCTCTTGCCCATCACCGGCCAGCTGGCTGGCGAGAGGAAACTCCCCCCCCAAGAGCAATGTCCGACAACATGCCAACATCACCTGGAAGTGACATAGGTGATGTGGGAAGGGGTGACACTCTGGTTTTTGAGCAAAACTCTATGGGTTGAGGGTGATTGTACGATAGAGTTTTGCCCAAAAACCAGAGCGTTGCCCCCGATGTGCCTATGTCACTTCTGGGTGATGCACAACGTCACTTCCCATGACATCTGCACGTCGGGGGTGATGCTTCCAGCTCCTGCAGCATCCTCCCCATCCCCCTGCTGGTGTCTCGAAGAGATCTGGCAAACCTAACAGGATCACCAAGCAGACTTCCCCTGATTTCTCTTATCGACATGGGAGCCAACCCCCCTACCTGGATCATCTCAGTTTTCTTGTTCTATGCTCCCCGCTAAACAACGTGCTGAGCAGCTTTGCCCCTGTGCAGTAACTGCTTGTGCTACAAAATGGCAGTCAGGCCACACCTAGGTCAATAGCTAACATGTTTGGGGTTGCGTCATACTGTTGCTTTTGCACGTTCACAGTCTGCAAACTAAATCTTCTCAGGGCAGAACTAAATGTGGCAACGTCCCAGAGTCTACTACTGGGGCTTGCAGCCATTCTTGAGCAGGAAGCTCTTGCTGGGGAATTCCTCTTAACTTTGCCACCGGGTCCCAATTCGGCTTCGTTCTGGTGTGGTGTAGGGGGATCAGTGGGCTCCTGCCTCCCAAACGGAGCTGGGGGACCTTATCTGCCCTGTTCTAGAGGCTCCATGACAGCCCCCTGGTGCCATTTCAATTCAGGAAAATGGTGCAGGGGTGGAAGACCCCCCCCCCAGCTGCCACAAGCCAACTTAGGCCCCTTCAGTGATGTTGAAACGAGTTCCTGTGGGAACCCTCTGCTCAAAATGATGGCAAGCCCCATGGCAAATCCAGGGTGCCATCACATCTGTCCGGCCCTCAGTCATCGGGGAAGAGGCCTGTGTCCCACAGAGCCATGTTCGAGTCATTAGGCTGACCGATTCGTCGAGCACAAATTCCTTTGTGTTTCACCCCCCATTTCAGGCCTGCACAGACAGATGCCTCCTTTAAATCTTCGTTCAGAACCTACAGTATCTGGGTTTTTTGCCTTTGCACTGCTGGAGGCATACATCATGACCACAAGAACGGACTGCAAGCTTAACTGATCACAAGCCTGAACTCCAAAATACCAATTGTATTGATTTAAGGCTTTTCTTTAAAGAAAAGGTCCGTCTCCTATAAAGGATTTTTTCCTTTTCTTTTAATGATGTGTCTCCACAATTGGAATAAATAGCGAGTGCTTGACTTTCAACTTTGCGGTTCTGAAGTTTTTGCAGGCCTGAAAGACTGCAAGACCACAGCAACATCCTGCTGTTTAGAGGTGATTTTCTTCCCTACCGCGTAGCTAATGTTTGCTACAATAATATTGTTTCAGCGTTACAATTTTGGCATTGCAAACTCACATCGTGGGAAACTGTGCTACCCACAATCCTCTTGACACCGACAGTTGTCTTTGTGTGAACAGGGCAATGTGGTAGAGGAAAAGATGGTGGGAAAGGCAGATGGGAGATGGTGTAGCTGCCTTGATTCCAAATTCGATGGCCAAGTGAAAGGCATAGGAACAGGTCCAAATCAAGAATGCTTGATCACCTCTATATTTTTGGCTTCCAAATATAAGAACATAAGAGAAGCCAATGTTGGATCAGGCCAATAGCCCATCCATTCCAACACTCTGTCACACAGTGGCCAAAAACACCAGGTGCCATCAAGAGTAGGGGTGTGCAAAAAAAATAATAATAATCGGCCCATTCAGATTCTGCCAAATTGGGCAGAATCAATTTTGGCTGGCAGTAAGACTCCCGCATGTCAATTTCGGCCAGCCGAATGTCAATTTCAGCCCCATTATATCCTATGGGCCATTGAAGTCAATGGCAAAAACATAGGGTATATTCTGGGGGCTGGAGGGGAGGGGGATTGAGGGAGAGACTCCAAACTCATCCCAAAATACCAACCAAGTTTGAAGAACATTGGACCAGGGAGTCCAATTCTACGGGCTCTCAAGCAGGTTGCCCCATCCCCTCCATTGTTCTCTATGGTGGGAAAAAGTTACTTTGCGTTTCAGGTGTTTGTTGTGGGGAGGAGAAGGGGAAGGAGATTGTAAGCCACTCTGAGACTCTGAGTGAAGGGTAGGGTATAAATCCAATCTCTTCTTCTCTTCTCTTCTCTTCTCTTCTCTTCTCTCCTCTCCTCTCCTCTCCTCTCCTCTCCTCTTCTGGTGACCCCAGAGAGCCACTGCCTGACTGAGCAGTTAATATTGATTTTGGTGGACCAAGGGTCTGATTCAGTACCGGGCAGTTTCATGTGTTCATGTGTGGATGAGAATGCAAACTCAAAGACCTGAAACTTAAAATGCAATTGACTAAGGGCATTCTTAGGTATGGCAGTGGGCACCTTCAGGATCGTTTGTTTTTGTTTTGCTGTCAAGTTTCAGCCAACTTCTGGCAACCAGTTCCCTCTAAGCTGAGTCAGTGTGAGCTAGCTCACAGTTCTTTAGCCTCCAGCTCACACATTGTTGTCTCAGCTCAGGAAGGGTGGCTCCAGAGCAAACTAATTTATGCAGTAGCCGAATCGCTCGCTCACAACTTTAATGCCGTTAGCTCACAAAGTAGAGTTTTTGCTCACAAGACTCCGCAGCTTAGAGGGAGCATTGGTGGAAAGCCCGTACGGTTTTCAGGGCAAAAGTCATTCAGAGGTGGTTTGCCATTGACTGCCTCTGCATGGAGATCCTGGATCTCCTTGGTAATCTCCCATTAAAATACGAATGAGGGCTGACCCTGTTTAGCCTCTGAGTTCTGGCGAGATCGGGCTGGCCTGTGTTCATGTGTTTGTGTGTCTTCATGTGTGGACGAAAATGCAAATTCAAAGACTAAAATTGCAATGGACTTTCTTAAGCATGGAAGATATACCAACCGGTATTGTCTACTCAGACTGTCAGCAGTTCTCCAGGTACAGAGGTCTTACTTACTTTACTTTATTTACAGTCCATGACCAGAATACAAATATGTAAGAAAAAAGAATGGCCATAGCCTGATAAAATATTAAAAATATAAAAAATAAGGTATACAAATATAAACGTGCATAAAAGTACTTAAAACTAATACTAATACAAATACAGAAATTTCTAAGATAACTACATAAAAATACAATCAGCTACTATCTTCCACATCTTTATAACCTTGAAAATGTTAATCAAAGAAGAGCTTTCGCCCTTGCCAGATTTTCAGCTTTGCCATCCTCAGTTATTGAGGGCAGATATAACAAAACTGCCCGGACTGAGAGATGTTGCCCTTGTAACAGCGATGAGATAGAGTTAATGGCACATGTCTTTTTTCATTGGTCTTTCTACAATGAAATTCATACTGCCCTTATCTGTTACTTGAGCTCTGTCCTGACATCTCTGACTCTGGGATCATTAACATACTTCTCTCTGATGTGAGTATAGAGATCACCAGGAAAGTTGCAGGTACCCAGAGGTCTTTCACATCACCTCCTAACTTTGCTGTTGACAGTGGTGAGACTTGCTTTAGCATCTCACTGGAAAAACAAACCAATGCCTTCTATCACAGATTGGAGAATTAGATTATGGGATTATTTTATTTTAGGTAAAATACCATCATATAGCTCTCAATCACCAAAAACTCAGGGGAATTTTGTGGAGCTCTGGTTTCCTATTGTCCAAGACCCAACAGAACTTGACACTCTGCCTAAAAATAAGCACTATCATGATTTGATATTCTTTTAAAAACAAACGAAAGGAAATAAATTCTGGCAAATGTCTTGTCAATATCATTTTACATTCCTCTGACATATTCTCTGATATGTAATCCGGGAAACTGTTATCTTGCAGACATATGCTTTTCATAAATGCTAGTCAGTAATGGTCAAGTAGCCAAGTTTGTATGCATTAAAAATGTCTTTTGAATTGACGTGTGGCCTTATGTACATCTAGAGCTGTATTGATACTAGGACTGTTGGATGATTGTATTTAAGTGGGGGTTTTGTTTTGTTCTCGTGGTTTGGTTTGATTTGTTGATATTGGATCTCGATTCGGTGTTGTATGAACGTATTGTACCTTTGAAAAATTGATATAAAAATAAAGTCAAAAAACATCACCTGATACTTTTAACTGTATTTGCTGGGAATTAAACTGAAACCTTCTGCATGCTAGGCGGGTGCTCTACCACTGAGCCACAGCCCCTCCCAAGAGCAAAAGCAATACTTGCAACTTAGCTGTGTTATCAAAGAAACATCTCATGATGGTCTGGAATACACTAACCAAGTATGTGTGATCAGCAACTACCCAGCCTGCCACCATGACAATACTGCCACCACACAGATGCGGTACTGCTTATTTTGAATTGTGAGCAAGCCATTGAGGTAATAAAAAGAGAGGTTCGACTTGACACACACACACCCCAAAAAAGCCCCCTGGTATTTTAGACTAGTTCAGTTCAGATGTCGATTGCATTTATTGCAAAATTTGCAGTCCAAACATTCTAAGCATAAGAGGGGCGGGGGGGGGGGGGGGGGAGAATTGAACATTATAACTGGTTGGCCTGCAAATGGCTGAGAAAATGATAACCTTGTTTTTGTTTTGAGAAAAGATATGGTATGAGATATGAGAGCCAGTTTGGTGTAGTGGTTAAGTGCACAAACTCTAATCTGGGAGAACCCCACTCCTCCACTTGCTGGCTGGATGACCTCGGGCTAGGCATAGTTCTGTCAGAGCTGTTCTTGAAAAGAGCAGTTTCTGTCAGAGCTCTCTCAGCCCCACCTACCTCAGAGGGTGTCTGTTGTGGGGAGGAGAAGGGAAAGGAGTCTGTAAACCACTCTGAGACTCCGAGTGAAGGGCGGGGTATAAATCCAATCTCCTCCTCCTCATATAAGTGCCCTGACCTGGCTAGCCCAGGGAACCCCAATCTCGTTTGATCTCAGAAGCTAAGCAGGGTCAGCCCTGGTTAGTACTTGGATGGGAGACCACCAAGGAATTCCAAGGTAGTTAACACAGAAAACGGCAAAACCGCCTATGGATGTCTTTCACCTTGAAAACCCTACGGGTTAGCATGAGTCAGCTGCAACTTGACGGCACTTTACACACACAAGGTATAAAATGAACAATAGTGATGTCTCCTTTCTGTAGGTTGCAGCCATCATCCTCCGCTTGACCACGGGTCTGTTAGCAACTCTCTGTGCCCCCTCTTTCTGGAGGGAAAAGTCTAGAACCTGAGCTAAAGCCTCAATGGCCAGGGGTCAGAAGAGTCAGCCATAGACACCTTCAAGCATCCCTGGCATCTTTTGTTGCATTGGTGCACTAGTTTTTAATTCCTCAAAGTCACTTGTAGAAGAGAAGAAGAGAGAAGAGATTGGATTTATACCCGCCCTTCACTACCCAAAGGAATCTCAGAGTGGCTTACAATCTCCTTTCCCTTCCCCTCCCCTCCCCTCCCCACAACAGACACCCTGTGAGGTAGGTGGGGCTGAGAGAGCTCTTCCAAGAACTGTTCTTTCGAAAACAGCTCCGACAGAACTTGTGACTGACCCAAGGTCACACCAGCACCTGCATGTGGAGGAGTCGGGAATCAAACCCGGTCCTTCCAGATTAGAGTCCGCGCTCCACTACACCAAACTGGCTCTCTATTGGCTCTTGAGCTCCAAATCGCATCTTGGCTGGAAAATGGGGCATAAAGGTACCTCAAATGCTTGGTGGGTTAGATCTCTGTTTACCTTCTCCTTCTTTTTTTCCGGTGTCTTTTCCGGTGTCTTCGAACCAACAGCTCTCTTGAGCAAAGATCCCTCTTGCTCCTCTTCTGATTCTGAAGTATCCTCAGCCTCCATTACGTCACCTCTAGCTACCTTATTCTTCCGTTGAAGGGTGTCTTCCAGATTCCCGACTTTCTTATTTTTTATCATGATTTTGAACTTCAGGTCCTGTGGCGACGGTGGGGGGAATGACAGCATTCAACATAGTAAACCACAGAACAGGAAGACGACGTAAAATAAATCTTGTTCAGCCTTCTGCACTGACAGTGTTTCTTTGTACCCAAGCTGTACCACTCTATATTGTGCTGAGGAACCAAGGATCATCAGCTTGGTTTGCTTTGAAAATCGATGGACTATTTGCATATTCTTCTCTGAGTCACTGACTAATATTACAACATCGGACATTCAACATGCGTGCAACCAATCAGACCCACAAGGAAGCCATAACAATAATTAGGTTCAACCATGCATGCTTTTTCTTTTCTTTTTTTCATATGTGGGGGACATGCGATAGAGTTTTAAAAAATATTAGTTTGGGGTTCATGAATTGTTAGAAAAAATGTTAAACTGTAATGTACCTTATGTACCAGAGCAGTTTTTATTGAATATATTGCCAGAAAATTGTAAAAAGCAAGACTCATATCTTATTATACATGTAGTGGCAGCTGCAAGAATATTGTATACCAAATATTGGAGGGAAAATGAGGTACTTTCAAAGGAAGAAATTACAGAAAAAATTCTTGAAACAGCAGAAATGGACAGACTTAGTTTAATTTTGAAAGGACAAAATGAGGAAGACTTTGAGAATACATGGTCAAAATTTTACAAACAGATGGAGGAAGCCAATAATTAAATTCTGTGGACATACAATCGAAATGCAAAGAAATAAGAACCATAACTTGTTTTTTAATTTACAAACAAAGCTATGTTTTGAAATATAAGGTGGAAAAATTGAAAAATGCAATTTGATAACGTTTGAGGTACTTTCACAGAAAAACAAAATGTTGTAAATGGAACCCCCCCCCTTTTGTTGTTGTACGTAAGTCTGTTTGTTTGTTTGTTTGTTTATGTTTTGTCTTGTATGGAAAATAAAATTGTTTTTTAAAAAACCACCATGCATGCTTTTTGATTCAGGAATGCTGCATCATGAAATACTACATATCACAACACGGAGCACACAAGTACCGTGGCGCCCACCAGTGTGCTTCCTGGAAACTGCTGGCGTCTCTACTGCCCTATTTCCTGACCCCCTCCCACAATTCTTCCTTGCCCCTTCTCAGGTTCCCTTCTTCTCTTTGTCCTCCTTCACCCCATTTGGACATCCTCCCTTGTCTGCTCTTTCCTTTGTTACCCCTTCCCATGTCTTCCTTCCACTTTTTCTCTCCTCCTTTCTCTCTTGAGTGTCTCCGTGATAGGAAAAGTCGAAGGCAGCAAGGAAAGGGGAAGACCCAACAGGAGATGAATTGACCCAGTCAAAAAAGCCACAACTCTCAGTGTGCAAGACCTGAGCAAGGCTGTTAATAGGCTTGCTAAGTCCCCCCGGGGAGCGGGGAAACCCCCGCCCCAGAGGCCCATTCCCTGCCGCCACTGGATTGGGCCCCGGCGGAAACTCCACCCTGACATGCACGTCACCAGGAAGTGATGTGATCACGCGGGGCACGCTGGGGGTGGGGCCATGACCATCTGAGGGAAAACGTCACTTCCGTGTGACGTGGATGCGGCGTGCGCACGCGCTCCAGGAGCAGCCCGGGACTCCCCCGCTCCAGATCGAGGTAATACTTGGCAACCCTAGCTGCTAACAAGAGGACCTTCTGGTGGACATTAATCCATAACGGTCACCAGAAGTCAGAGGTAACTCGGCAGCACTTACACACCACACAATGCATATTGTTTGGATACATGTTAGCAGGCCTGGGCATTTAACTATTTATTTCAAAACATGCCTATCCGTTCTCTCTCCCACAGGACCCAAAAGATAATTATACTACTTCCCGCAAGTTTCCTTGCTGCCCTGCAAAAGCAGCAATGAATATCATAGTAAAGGTTTCCCTTGCTCGAAACCTGACTCTAGGGATGCGGTGCTCATCTCCGTTTCCAAGCCGAAGAGCCAGCGCTGTCCAAAGACGGTCATGTGGCCGGCATGATTAGATGCTGAGGCACATGGAACACTGTTACCTTCTCACTGAAGCGGTACCTATTTATTTACTTGCAATTTCTTGCTTTCGAACTGCTAGGTTGGCAGGAGCTGGGGCCAGAGACAGGAGCTCACTCCGTCATGCGGCACACTTGGGTCTCGAACTGCTGAACTACCGACCTTCCGGTCTGCAGCTCAGCGTCTTAACCTCTGAGCTGCCGCAGCCCCTAATGGATATCATAGGTATCCTCTATTTTATACCTTCTAATGCCATATATGTTAATCCCCTTTAATCTCAGTAAGAAAGGCAGACTATAAATTAAGTAAACAACAAAAAACGTATTAATCTTCCATCTCTCCCCCCCCCCCCCCCCCATTCATTTAATTGAAAATGTATGGGGGGTTTAGGGTTCCCCATAGCAGCCATTTTGTAACATTACCCAGTACAGTTTCTCAAAATTCCAGCAGAGCTAACAAGGATGGAGATCCCTGATGCGGTGGCTTGTGTGCCCAATAGACTTCAAATGCCACAGATCAATCAACACATCATCATGTTACCTCCAAGCATCTCAGACTCTAAGCATTTCAATGCAATCTGTTCACCAATCGGGTCATGCCATCCATGAAGCCAAAAAGCAAACATTGCTTACTTTTAAAAAGGGTTCCAAGAGGTTCCAAGAAGTTACAATTCTGTTAGACAGCTCGGGGGAAATTGGTGGAAGCCCCCATTAAAGATGGTTATTAGGTACATAGAGGAACAAGCCCTGTTGAAGAAGAATCAACATGGTCTCTGCAAAGGGAAGTCCTGTCTCACCAGCGCTCTTTGAGGGTGTTAACAAGCATGCTGATAACTGTGATCTATTATGTGTGGACTCCCAAAAGCTTCTGACAAAGCCCCTCACCAAGAGTTCCTGAATGGGGAGAATTTTTGTGATTGTGAAAATGAATCAGGACACAGTATTTTGTTCCAAGACACTGAAAGGCTGGACAACACATCCAATTACCATGTCAGATTACACAGGGAAGCCATTGAAATTAATAAACATAAACACAATATCAACAGGAAAGAAGTTTAAAAATGATTATAGGGCATGGTTTCCTGTCCTGAAAAACACAAAAGGCTCTACATCTGACAATAGCACTACAGATAGGATTAGAATTTCAACTGCCAGTCCACATGCAAAAGAACCTCCTCAGGAAACAGGAAACCTCCTCAGGAAACAATCCATATACAAAAGAACCTCCTCAGGAAAGCTCCTCTATTAGCATGTTTTCACAGCCTGGAGAACTCTTACAAGATTACCTTCCTGAGTAGATATAAATTACCTGCCTACCATTTTTTTTCTTCTCACCTTGAAACAGAGAGTACTCCATCTTTCTGTGTTATACCTCTGAGGATGCCAGTCACAGCTACTGGCAAAACATCAGGTCCTACAATGCCAAGGCCATGGCCATACAGCCCGGAAAAATCTACAACAGCTAATCAGGCTTCTGCTTGTCACAAACAAACCCCAGTTTGTTTGCAAGTTCAGAATACTTCTTGACATTTAGGAGATGCCTCATACTTGACTGCCCACCTCCCCCTATAATGTGGTATGTAACACAAAGATAAAACTCCCAGTGATTGAGATGGACCCAACAGGAGATGGAGTGACTCAATCAAAGAAGCCACGGCGCTCAGTTTGCAAGACCTGAGCAAGGCTGGTAACGAGAGGACGTTTTGGAGGACATTGATTCATATGGTCACCATATGTCAGAAGGGACTTGATGGCACTTCCCACACACACACAATTCCATAAACGTTCTCAACGAACCTGCACAGCAATTGCAGAGATTTTAAAAGAAGAGGGGAAAGAGCTGGGTTTACCTCTGGGGAGGGTAGCTCGGTCGGCATCTCATTATTAAGTGTCGAAGTAACCAGTTGGTCCCCCAGAATAGCTATCATGCAAGCTGCCATGATCTCCTGTTGTGGGGGGCTACAGTGATTCTCCAAAGATAAAACAATGGGATAATCCGATGCCTAAAAATGCAAAACAAGAGCCATAAATCCTATGTATTATATAAGACAGGGAAATAAAACGTTGCAAAAAGCTACACTATATAGCCGAAGGAAAGGAAGGAAAAGGATCTGTTGGGTACTCTCCAAAATAAAAAATTGAAGCTGTTTTATTTTTAAAGACACCCAACTGCAAATCGGCATGAGATCATATAAATGTAAAGGTTTCCCTTGCTTGAAAGCCAGTCAAATCCGACTCTAGGGGGCGGTGCTCATCTCCGTTTCCAAGCCGAAGAGCCAGCACTGTTCAAAGATGTTTCCGTGGTCATGAGACTGGCAAGACTAGAGGCCGAGGTGCACGGAATGCTGTTACCTTCCCACCGAAGTGGTACCAATTTATATACTTGCAATTTCTTACTTTCAAACTACTAGGTTGGCAGGAGCTGGGGCCAGAGATGGGAGCTCACTCCGTCACACGGCACTCGGGTCTTGAACTGCTAAGCCACCGACCTTCCTGTCTGCATATATCAGAAGGCTGAAAAACATCTTCTGATTCCTGAGACCAATTTGGCGTAAAATAAAATTTCACCAAAACTAGCAAGTGTCTGTCTGTCTGTCTGTCTGTCTGTTTCTCTCTCTCTCTCTCTCTCTCTCTCTGTCGTGGGTCCTGGCTCTGCTGAGGCTGACTACTCCTCAGAAGAGGAAGAGGCAGGGAGCAGCCCAGCCTCCTCTGGAGTCAGCCCAGAAGAAGAACCCTCAACAGTACCCGAGGAGGAAAAGTCCCCAGCAGCTGCACAGGAGGTCCAGCCAGAAGGAGAGACCGACCCTGAGCCTGGCCAAGCAGCGCCCCCAGTTGCAGACACCCCAAGGCCAGACTCCCCAAGGCCGAGTTCTCCCGAGTGCCCCAGATGCAGGGCACATGCCAGAGGCTGACTATGCAGGAGCAAAGGAGGAGTGCCAGACTGCAGCTCCTGCACAGGCAACGGGAGGAGCTGTAAGCCTTGGCAGACTCGACTCCCAGGGAAGGGAGGACCTGTTCAAAAGCACTCAGTGCACCTGGTTCAATGGCGGCAACTTTGCTCACTCAGACCTGCTCCTGCGTGTGGGGGGGGGGCAGCCACTCCTTGTCCTTGCAACGTTGAATTGACGTCCCGGCTCTTGACTTTCGGCTCTGTGACTGACCTTGATTCCGGACTGTGGTTACAAGCTTCCAGTGTGTGGTCTCTGTGGAAGCCAGCCAAGACACACACACCCTCTCTCTCTCCCTCTCCCTCTCCCCATCGTCCTCTCCCTTTCTGTGTATGTGTATATGTATGTGTGTGTGTGTGTATATATATGTATGTGTGTGTGTATATATATATATATGTGTGTGTGTGTGTGTGTGTGTGCTTAACTTGCAGCAGCTGAGAACTGTCATCTAAAGTGGTTGACAGCCTGTAATTTAGAGATTTATCCTGGTAACAGCTTTCTATTGACGAAATGGTTAATAGGCTAAGGGTGATTGCTAGCATAAGAACCAGGGGTCATTTCCTGCGGAGCTCCGGCAGTAAGGAGCCCAGAGGGCGGGCACATGCAATAAGCTCTGCCCCCTGCTCCCAGAAGCCCTCAGTTGGGCCATGAGGAGCAAGAAGCAACCAGGTAAGTTGCAGAGCCCCCCCACCGGCCCACCTCCTGCCTTCAGGTACAAGCTCTCCCTCTCCTGTGAGGGCAGATCTGTGCAATTCCCCCCCCCCAAAAAAAAACTAGCAATCCAAAACAGTCCAGTGGAGCCTGAGCGGTGGGTGTTGCCTTCTGACACACTTCCGGTGATGTCCGGGTGTGTGGCATATGCAAATAAATTATGCTAATACGTTATGCTAATGAGCTCCTGCTCCTCTTTTTCTATGAAATGACCCCTGATAAGAACACCTACGTAGAACGGACATCTTGAGACGACTCAGAGAGAGAAAAGTAGCTGAGTCGTAATCCTCAGAATTCTGGCTTTTCTTTCTGCACTGAGAGCTTCAGCCCCACCAGAAAAAAAAATTGCCCCACAAGCCACAAAATCCTGGCTATGGGCCTGGTGAGAGAAGAGGAAGGGAGGCATCACAGGGGTGAGAGAGGAGGAAAGGAGACATCATCGAGAGTACAAAGCCTTCCCCCATCCCCAAAATCCCACAACTATTTGCACGTTTCCTTGATGCACCTACCACAAAAGCATGCTTATGGATCACACTGATGACACTCTTGAAGGTAATTTTGCTGGTTAAGGTATGTCCGTGATAAACCACCGGCTCGTTGTCTTGCCCATCCCAGCAGTCAATTTCAAGGCAGCGGCATCCCTTATTGAGGGCACTTCACACACACACACACACACACACAAAGGAATATTAATATATTTGTTTAATTGTAAAAAGAACTACTAGTACCCCACTGATCAGCACTATTTTGCCCTCCGGTTTCTAAGTAGCACTTTGTTTAGACACCCAGAGACCCAGGTAGGGTAACCTATATCTTGAGATTTCTGTTGGGATTTAGAAAGGAAATTTGATCTTTGCCCTGAAACGGCTTTGTGCTACCACAACTATAAGAAAATATCATGGCATTCTAGTGTTGCCAGGTCCCTCCTGGCAACCGGTGGGGGATGGTGGGACTTACCAGGAGAAAGAGAAAGGCCCAGGCCTCGTTGCCAGCATCACACAGGAAGTGATATCACATTGTGACATTGCTGCAACACTCTATTGTTTGGGGAAACTCAATGGTAAAACTTCTACCATAGAGTTTTTGCCAAAATACCAGAGTGTCGCCCAGATGTCACTGGCATGATGACATCACTTCCAGTGGAATGCCACCAAGGAGGCCTAGGCCTTTCTCCTGGTAAGTTCCCCCACCACCCAGCTGATCAGTGGCTGGGGGGCAGAGCCTGGCAGCAGGGGACCCCCACCTCTACTGAGGGGGGGGGGGTTCTGGCAATTCTGTGAGCACACAGCACCCTCTTCCACTTTTAAACTGAAAGCAGCCAATGGCCATGGCTCTCTAGGGATGTTTGATAGGTTCATCTCATCTCTGTAAGCTGTAAGCCCTCTCTGCCTTGTTTCAGTCTGTCTGGCAGCTGGTTCAATTTTATACCAGAAGCGCCAATAAGAATCCCATTAGGACATTTGGAAACCACAGGCTACGATGCACTGTTTTATGTTTTCTCATGTTCATATCCTATACTTCTACAAAGCAGCTTTGGGCAGTTTTTATGGGATAACCATATTTTATCCTCACCACAGCCGTCTTTATTTTTCTTCAACGGCTGAAAATATTTATTCATTCAGACAGTTATTCCCTGTTTCTTTCAGCAATAGGGTCCCCAAGTGGCTTACAACTTTATTCTCCCCTCCATTTAATTCTCAAAGGAAGTTAGGCTGAGACACGGGGACTGGCCCAAAGTCGCCCAGTGAGCCCCCATAGCAGAGACAGGATCCAAACCTGGATCCCCTTCTAATCAAACATTCTAGCCATTATTCCACACTGGCTCAAAGGACCTTAAGAGACACAGCATAAGGCCCTTTTGCACCACTTGAAGTACAATCCTACAAAGAGTTACCTCAGACGAAGCCCATTGATTTCCCTCCTAAGCAGAGCCAACACCCTTCCATGTTGATTCAAGTCAACTGGCTTGGAAGGATGTAGCTCTGCTGAGGAATGCACTGCAAGTAAGAACATAAGAGAAGCCATGTTGGATCAGGCCAATGGCCCATCCAGTCCAACACTCTGTCACACAGTGGCCAGAAATACCAGGTGCCCTCAGGAGGTCCACCAGCGGGACCAGAACTCCAGAAGCCCTCCCGATGTTGCCCCCCCAAGCACCAAGAATACAGAGCATCCCTTGCCCCAGACTGAAAGTTCCATCCATACCTTGTGGCTAATAGCCACTGATGGGTCTCTGCTCGACATGTTTATCCAATCCAAGTAGCTTCCAGCCTTCCCCTCCAGAAATGAGATGGAAATGTTGGAATGAGCGACTCAGCATGCCTCGACATTGAGGGGCACTGCATCACTCTAAGTGAGTATAAACGTTATCTCCTTGAATGGGGCGCCTCTTTTTGTCCTAACCTGGTAGCTGCCCTCTGACCCCCTCCTCTCTCTCTCTCTCTCTCTCTCTCTCTCTCTGTGCTGTTTGCTCTTCTCCATTCTTCACATGGCTCTTCATGGAGTCTGCTGTAGAAACAATGTCCTCATACTTCTAGACAGGGGTCGTTTCGTAGAAGAAGAGCTAGGGGAACTCATTAGCATAACTCATTAGCATATGCCACACCCCCTGACATCACCGGAAGTGTGTCATAAGGCCACACACCCCGCCCCCAACGGTCCCGGCCGCCATCGCCGGCCTTGCAGCTCCACTGCCGAGCCCCATGAGGGGCCTGACAGTGGACCTGCAAGGCCGGCGGGAGTGCAAGGAAGCCCCGCGAAGGCCCTCCCTGGCCCCAGGCAGGCAGGGGTGGGGAGAGGCAGGGAGGAAGCAACTTACCCTCCCTCTTCTCCTGCCTCCTCCTGGCTGAATGAGGGCTGGAAGCGGGGCGGCCGGAAGCAGGGGGCGGGGCTTCGTCATGTGCCCCGCCCCCATACCTCACCCGGGGGAACTGCGATCCCCCCCGAAATGACCTCTGCTTCTAGACATGTGATGCCGGATTATCTGGCTACTTGTGATAGGGACAGTATTGTTTAGATTAGTCTTCTCTCTCTCCTTTCGACTGCACCCTGAGTGTGAGCTGGATCTACTTGAACAAACGTAAGTTTCTAGTTTTGCGAGATGCTTCTTGCCATATACTCTTCTTCAACAGAATGCGCACAATAGCATGTGGTTCTATGCCTGGGCATACTCTGCTATATTTATCAAATATCCTAATAATAAATACCTGGAATAGCCCCAGAGATGACTCGGTCCTACAAGCTGGTCCGAGATCAGGTAGGTGTTGTGCGAAGAGGAAATGAAGTAATCACACAGTGGGTAGGTCATATCTTGATAAACCTTTTTGTGCAGGCTTTTAAACAGGTTGCAGTCGTCTGAAAGCAGGTATCGGATAAAGCCTTCGAACGTCATCTCTTTCTTGTTCTTTGCTAGAAGGGAAATTGGCATGTTCAAAAGTTAACTGCATTAGGTTCCGGACATATGCATTGCTGCCGGAATTAAACCCAGTTAGGAAACACTGTCACAAACATATGCCCCTTACCTCTGTCTTGCCTCGGCCCCATTCTGAAGTTTAAATTCATCCATCATCATCAAAGACATTACATGAATGAATGAACACATGGAGAAGAAGAGAAGAAGAGATTGGATTTATACCCCGCCCTTCACTCAGAGTCTCAGAGCGGCTTACAAACTCCTTTCTCTTCCCCTCCCCACAAAATACAACCTGTGAGGTAGGTGGGGCTGAGAGAGGTCTTTCCAGAACTGTCCTTGAGAGAACAGCTCTGACAGAACTATGGCTTTCCCAAGGTCATCCAGCAGCTGCAAGTGGAGGAGCGAGGAATCAAACCCAGTTCTCCCAGATTAGTCTCCACACACTTAACCACGACACCAAACTGGCTCTCAAAGCTGTCTTATACTGTTATCAGACCATCTGTCCATCAAGGTAAGTATTGTCTACTCAGACTGGCAGCAGCTCTCCGGGGTTTCAGGTGGAGATCTTTCACATCATCTCCTACCTGGGCCTTTCCATTGGGGATGCCAGAGATTGAACCCTTCTGCATGCCAAGCAGATGCTCTACCACTGACCCACGGCCCCTCGCATGCTCATGACGTTTTTTGATTCAGTGGTTTTTCAACTGTGCTCCAGGGAATCTCGTAGTGACTCAGAACCGTACCAGATATTCCTCAATGAGAAGGACAATAAGAAAAGAGGAGCCTCCCAGAAAGACGGTTTACTCACCACTGCCGATAATCTTCTGTGATGTGCAGAAACGCGGAAGTGTTGGTTGTATTTGTAGGATAACAAGTTCCCATAGGCGGTAAGGGTGAAGACTCCTGGCCATGCCAGAAGTGAACTGATGCATGCACTAGAATAGTAGTCTACAATTTTTTATAACTAGATAGCCCCGCTAATGTTGAAAATTCAGAGTAAGTGATCACCAAAGAACCAGTATGTAAAGCCTGTTTGTATAGACGAGAACATGCAATTTGTCATGTCTTAAGAACATAAGAAGAGCCCTGCTGGATCAGACCAGTGGTCCATCTAGTTCAGCATCCTCTCTCACACGGTGGCCAACCCATTCCTCTGAAGGGCCAACTACAGGGCATGGAGGCCGAGGCCTTCCCCTGAAGTTGCCTCCTGGCTCTGGGATTCAGAGGATTAGTGCCTCTGGATGTGGAGGTTCCCCTCAGTCACCATGGCTAGTAGCCACTGATAGATTTATCCTCCACAAATCTGTCTAACCCCCTTTTAAAGCTGTAGCCATCACTACATCCTCTGGCAGTGAATTCCACATTTTAATCACTTTTTGTGTAAAGAGATATTTCCTTTTGGCTGTCCTGAATCTACTGCCCATCAGTTTCATACAATGCCCTTGAGCTCTAATATCTTGGGAGAAAAATTTCTCTTGTCACCACATGGAATTCACTGCCACAGGAGGTGGCGGCAGCTACAAGCATGGACAGCTTCAAGAGGGAATTAGATAAGCATATGGAGCAAAGGTCCATCAGTGGCCATTAGCCACAAGGTATAGATAGGAATTCTCAGTCTGGGGCAAGTGATGCACTGTTTTCTTGGTGCTGGGGGGGTGGGAATAGTGGGAGGGCTTCTAGTGTTCTGGCCCCACTGATGGACCTTCTGATGGCGCCTGGTATTTTTGGCCACTGTGTGACAGAGTGTTGGACTGGATGGGCCACTGGCCTGATCCAACATTGGCTTCTCTTATGTTCTTATGTTCTTAACTCTCTCCACCACATGCATAATTTTATAAACTTCTGTCATGTCTCTCCCCCCCTTAGTCATCTCTTTTTTAAACGGAAAAGTCCCAGACTCTTCAGCCTTTCCTCATAGGGAAGGGGCTCCAACCCCCTAATCCTCTTGGTTGCCCTTCCCTGTACTTTTTCCAGCTCTTGCAATGTCCTTTTTGAGATATGGTGACCAGAACTGTACACAGAACAAAGTTAGAGTCCAGTGGTTCTATCTATATATCTAATAACCAAGGGTCCCTCTGTGTGCGGATACTTATTTCCGCAGATCTGGGGTAGATGGGGGGGGAGATCTTTCAGCATATTTGGGGCAGCCCCCAGGCTTGCAGAAAAATCTAAAATGTTGAAAAAACTATATGGGGGATACTTAAACTTCCCCCAAAAGTACAACAGCCCTTTCTGCTCATGTGCATAGAATGGACTTACCAAAAATGAGGAGGCTTCTCTCCCCCTCCCTCTCCTTGGAAAGCGACTGTTTTGAGCACGTGACTGCCCTTAGCAATGCCTTTCCTAGCAATGAGGCTTTCGCAGGCTTTTCTGCTCTTGGGAAGCCGGGAGCGAATAGGGACTTTGTGTCTGAGCCTGCACTGGCTCGGCCTCCCAGGCACTGCCACCAATGTCGGGCTCAAAATTAGGGGAAAAGAAGGAGAGGAGAAAGAAGGAGAGGGATTGGCTTGAGGAAAAGACAGAAAGGGAAAGATGGGGGTATTTACTTGGGGGGGGAGATAGAAGGGGGATTGGCTTGCAGAGAGGGAGGGAGAGAGAGAGAGAGAGAGAAGGGATCGACTTGGGGGAGGATTGGAAAGAAAAAGAAGGAGGGATTGGCTTGGGAAGAGAAAGAGGGGGAAAGGGGGGAGAGGGAAGGAAGCAAAGGTGAGGGAATGCCCCCTCTCTAGGCTTCCCAAGTCCCCCCAGGGGGTGGGGAAAGGCCCATTCCCCGCTGCCGGAGGATCAGGCCCCGGGGGGAACCCCACCCCGACGTGCACATCACCCGGAAGTGACGCGACCACACTGGGCACGCTGGGGGCGGGGCCACGGCCATCCGAGGGAAAACTCTGTTTCCGCTCGGATGGCCATGGCCCCGCCCCAGCGTGCCCGGCGTGACCACGTCACTTCCAGGGTGACGTGCATGCGGCGCAGCACGCTTTGCGTGTGCGCGCTACAGCCGCCAGCCGGGAGTCCCCCGCTGCCGGCTGGCTTCACACTTGGCAACCCTACCCGTCTCCTCAAGTTTCTTGTGGGTCCACCCTTGTTTGTTCAATTGCTTCAGACCCAACACGGCTGCCCCCTTAGAACTGTACACAGTATTCCAAATGAGGACGCTCCATAGAGCTATACAGGGGCATTGTAACATCGGCCCTTTTCCGTTCAGTCCCTTTCCTAGTAATCCCTAACACAGAGTTTGCCTTTTTCACTGCTGCGACACGCTGGGTTGACACTTTCACTGAGCTACCCACTACGACCCCAAGGTCTTTTTCTCCCTCAGTCTCAGCAAGTTCAGACCCCATTAGTCTATACTTGACATTGGAATTTTTTGTCCCAATGTGCATCACCGCACGCTCAAACTTACTTTGGGTTGCAAACCTCCAGGTGGAGCCTGGAGAGCTCCCGGAATTCCAACTGGTCCCCAGACGACAGAGATCAGTTCCCCTGGAGAAAGTGCCTGCTTTGGAAAGTGGCCTCTGTGGCATTAGGCCCCGCTGAGGTCCCGTTTAGTTCTGTACTGAGCTACATGTAGCTTTAGAGACAGTTGTGTTTTTCTTTTTTTTAATTTAAGTCCTTTCCAGTTATGGTTGCCAGTCTCCGGGTGGCACCTGGAGATCTCCTGCTATTACGGTTGATCCAGGGCTCTTTTTGTAGAAAAAGCCCAGCAGGAACTCATTAGCATAATAGGCCACACCCAATAGCAGAAACTCATTAGCATATTAGGCCACACCCCTGACAGCACCACTCATTAGCACATTAGGCCACACCCCCATGTTACCAGAAGTGTGGTCATCCAGCCACACCTTTTGCTTCTTATTCTGTTTACCTTGTTTGTCGTCAAAACCCAGGGCTTTTTTTGTAGCAGGACCTCCTTTGCATGTTAGGCCACACACCCCTAATGTAGCCAATCCTAATGAGTTTCTGCTGTTGGGTGTGGCCTGTTATGCTAATGAGTTCCTGCTGGGCGTGGCCAACTTGGGAGCCAGCCGGAACCCCGTTCCTCTGCGTTCCTGCCCCAAAATAGCCCTGAAGATGACAGAGATCAGCTCCCCTGGAGAAAACAGCTGCTTTGGAGGGTGGACTCTATGGCATTAGACCCTGCTGAGGTCCCGCCCCTACCCAAACCCCACCCTCCCCAGGCTCCACCCACAAAATTCTCCAGTTATTTCTTAACCCAGATCTGGAAACCTGATTTATAGTCTGCCTTTCTCACTGAGACTCAAGGCAGATAACCCAAGGCCACAGGCTCCTGCACTAGAGGGTGGCCCGCTACCTGGAGGGGGGGGGGGATGTCCTCTGCTGTTAATAGAGGCTGTGGAAATAGGTAGCTGGAACTTTTTCATGGCATGGTGGTAAAAAACATCACCTGGTCAATAGCAGCCATTAAGAGTCTATTAAAAGGACACGAGACTTGTTCTCCTCCAGGCAATTTTGAACGACATCCCTGGGATGTAGGTTAGTCTGAGTGAGTGGCCCAAGGTCCATGGCAGAGTGGGCATTCAGACCTGGTTCCCTCAGATCCTAATCCGACATTCTGAGAGTCAGTTTGGTGTAGTGGTTAAGTGCGCGGACTCTAATCTGGGAGAACCGGGTTTGATTCCCCACTCCTCCACTTGCAGCTGTTGGATGACTGTGGCCAAGCCATAGTTCTGTCAGAGCCAGAGGTCATTTCGGGGGGGGGATCGCGGGGGATCGCAGTTGCCCCGGGTGGGGTACGGGGGCGGGGCACATGACGAAGCCCCGCCCCCTGCTTCCGGCTGCCCCGCTTCCGGCCTCCATTCAGCCAGGAGGAGGCAGGAGAAGAGGGAGGGTAAGTTGCTTCCTCCCTGCCACTCCCCACCCCTGCCTGTCTGGGGCCAGGGAGGGCCTTCGCGGGGCTTCCTTGCACTCCCACCGGCCTTGCAGGTCCACCGCCGGGCCCCTCATGGGGCTCGGCAGTGGAGCTGCAAGGCCGGCG